CTTTAAATGGCCAATCGACCAACGACCGACCCATCATCGATGCCTTGTCCATGGCCCGGCTAATTCCCATTGACCGGAGCATAAACGAGGGGAGAAAGGGAGAGCAGCGAAGCAATGAAGCGAAAGATCTTTCGATTTTGTCCATTCGAAATTCATAAAATGCATGCAAAATAAAATCGAACCCTAAAAAGTGGCGCATCATCATTATTTATTCGATTCTCCCCCACTCTGCTCTCCTTTCGTTTGCCCTAACAAAAGGCACAATCAATGACGACATCGGTGTTTAAAATTGTTGGAAGAAACAGCAGACAATTTGCATAGCTAGAAGAGAAATAGAGCTAAAAGCAGCGCCAGACTATTGAGATAAATTAATATGCAAATTTTTCGCAGAGAGAACTTCTCCCATTCTCCGGTCCAGTCTTGTTCCCATTCAAGTGAAATTTCTTGAGTGCGAAGCCCGAAGTTTAGCTATAAAATAGAAATCCCATGCCCATGTCGGTTTCAGTATTATTCCTAAACACGACCATGAAGTGCTCTTGGAGTCTCTATTGCGGAGGTACGTTCTCTGAAAAGGTGATGGGGATTTTTTTACACAGAACACTGTGGAAAATTGAGTGCCAGAAATCCTTAGCTAGAATTTGCTAGAAGTTTTCGTGGGGAACAAGGTCGTCTTTTCATTCGTTTTAGCTACTGAGTTCTGCTGAAAGAGGTTCCCAAAATGTCCAAACAATTCCAAGAACTTCGAGAGTTCTGCCCGTATCCCCTGCTGGGTTTGGGTTTTGGGTTTGGGTTTGGGTGTGGATTTTGGCATGGCACAGAACAACGCCACAAAAACCCAAAGGGGTCTGATCGGCGCTTCGTTGACAGACATAATTGAGGGCTTAAGTCTGGCTCTGGTTCTGGTTTTGGAACAACACCCGCCAGCCAGGCTGGCTGCCGACTGGATCTCTCCTGCACTCTCTGGTGTCATAAAGCCATAAATAAGCCGCGGAAATTCCCAGATCCCGAATGAAAATTATGGAAAAACGGCAACGTTTATGACAGGCACACGCGCGACCCCAGACTCAGACTCGCTAATGATCCTCGCTAACTACCTGACCGGCAGAGGAACTACCTTTAAAGGGAGCTCACCCACGAGTCCTGGGCATCAAACGGACTCCGAGCGTCGTGGCAGCAACATCCATCGTCCAGCAAAATTGACAATGATTGACGAGCAGAAACTGAAGAAGAACTCGGAGAATAAGCAGCGCTCCAGCAGCAGGCCACATAGGATGCACAAGAAGGGAGCCAACGATCCTTTGAGGAAGAAGAAAAAGGCGCTGAAGAAGCTGCGAAAGAGATCGCCTCGGACCAACTTCTCCTATCAGCTGTTCCTGTATCGGCAGGAGCTGAAGCGAGCCAGTGCGGATTTCTCCTACTTGCGGCTGTCCAGGGCCAAGATAATGCTGACCAACGAGCTGATTGCCAAGAAAATTGGCAGCAACGAGCAGATGAGCAGCGTGGACGATCTCAAGATGCTCAGCCGAGAGCTGCAGTTCAAGAAGCGTCTCGCCAGTCAGGTGGAGCGCCTGGAGGAGTTCAAGAACTTGGGCCTCACCGAGATGATACTCGATGGCAAGAAGACAACCCTATAGCCATGGCAGGCAGGAGAGAGATCGTTAGGCTAGGGCTGGGCATTACCTTAAGTTAGTTGTAATCTGTTAGGCTGTAATATTTTATCAAATAAAATATCGCAATGAAAAATGTAATCCAATGCTTTGGCAATAACCTTTCAGCGATGCTTCTGTGCTCGGCCAGTCTCTGCTCTGGCCAAAATGTCACCGACGACAATGTGGAGGCCTCCAAAGTGGGGACTTTGTTGCTTCAGTCCTCATCCAGCACTTCGACCACTGCCAAACCACCAACTAGTGCGACTTCCCCTTTGCCAAAAGCCAAGTCCAAGCAGGCCCATGAAATCGAAGAGGATGACAAAAACTTCTCGAATGATCGACTGCCCGAATTAACGGACGCTGAGTACAGCAGCCTGGGGGAGGATGCGAATCCTTTGCATTTCCTTAAGCAGCAGCAGCCGCAGTCCACCAATCCGCAGGTATGATCTTGCCCAGGTAATCCTGAGGATTACTGCCCCATGTCTAGTCCGTGAACCTTTCTTTTATTGAATCGTATGCCACACTCTCTTTGCATCAGCCCAAACCTGAACCTTTGGCCATGCCCCAACCCAGTGCCTCTTCCATCTACATTACCATCCCAATTTACATCAATGCGGCTGGCAAGCTGCCACTCACTTTGGCCATTGGCGATCAGCAAATGTCCCTCAATCAGCAGAGAAAGTCAGCCTCAGCGAACAAGAAGAGTCCCCACACGAAGGCGCCCAATTCCCATTTCAATCGTTTGCTGGAGCAAATCGAGACAACTCCCAAGAGACGGGTGACGAACCGTCATCGCAGTCAGCTGAAGAGCAACATCCAAGCTGCCATCTACTAGCCAAGGATCTGGAATCTATCTCGGGGCTTACACAATTATTACATAACTTTAATGGTCTAAACAATAAATAAATGACAATAAATAGCTGAGAAATTTGTGTGTGTGGAACTTGAGGTGAGGGCGAAGGCAACGTCTAGACAGCATTGCTGAGGGGAGTCGCTGGCTCCTCCACGGGCTTGCCAGGCTCTGGCTCGGATGCTGCTGCAGTCTCAACCTCCTTTTCGGGTTGCTGCGTGGACTCTGCCTCGGGTTGCTTCGTCTCATCCGTGCTGGGTATGGCAGTGGCTGGTGTCTCGTCATCATCATCGTAATCATCGCCAATGGCCTGCTCGATGGTCTGCTGGATAAAGTGCTCAAACTGCTGGAAGTACTGCAGCGCATTGTTGGCCACCTGGGCGGTGGGCAGATCCGAGGTGACCTTCTTCAGGGCATCGCGGATGAGCACGAGCACTGGCTTGCGAGAGGGAACCACTGGCACTGCGGCTGTCACAGCCACGGGCTCTTTCTCCAGTTCCGAGGGGGTTTCTGTGGCTATCTCCTCAGTGGTGTCCGCTTCGCGGCGTCTTCTGATCAGCGAGTCATCGTCATCATCATCATCGTCCTCTACATCGTCATCGTCGGCATCCTCCTTGGACTCCTGCACGACCTTCTGCACATCCTCATCATCATCGTCGTCGTCGTGCTCCTCGCTGCTGTCCGCACTGGAGTTGTGCACTGGCTCCTCCTCCTCCACCTGCCGCGACGAAGGGAACTCCAGGCTCGTGTCGACTCGAGCTGGAGCTGCACTCACCGCACAGGCCAATGCCAGCAGAGCTGCTGCAGCAAAGAGAAGAGCATTCAAGAATTAGTTGGGGGATATTCCGTTTCAGGAGGGGGAATTTCAATGTCTCACCGAGGGTCAGGTAAATCGCTCGAACCATAATGCTAATCCTTTTTGTTTTCTTTGCTTTTCCGTGGGCGAACAGTTGCCTTTTGCAGTTTTGCGGTCTTTCTGAGCGAATCCAGCGCGTTGCTTTCGCTTTTTATAGCCCCAACCAAAATGAAAGTAAATCAACAACAAGGCGCTCGCTCCTCCACCTACTTCGAGCCATCGACCAAGCCGATGCGAAGCGATCCCATCCCAACCGATCCGATCCGCTCTCAGCGTGCTCCGACTCTAGCTCTGGGCTCTGGCGACTCACCAGAGCGATGCTCCAGTCGCTTTTTACACCAAGCCGAAGCTCTCTTTCTCTTTCTCTTTCTCTGTCTCTTTATTTTGTTTTCTTCTTTTGTTTACCCTACTGACACACGAAAGAAACCGAAATCATTTATTTAAATTTTCTGTGTGTCATTTTGGTTACTTCTTTCATACAGTTTTTTGGGCATCCGGACAGACTGTGTGCCTTAGAAATTAACAATAGCCAGACCAGAGTTTCAGCTGCTGATATGCAAAACTGCTTACAAGATCACTTAGTTGTTCGATGGTTCGGTCATTGGGCCCTTAATTATGTAATTAGACATGGGCTATGATCAGTTCGCCCCCAACTGGCCCAACTGGCCCAACTGACCAACTGGCAATGGATCAACACACACAAATCAGATCTCAACTTTCTAATGCTAATGGGAAATGTTGAAAACATTTCCATTCAAAATCAAATAATCAACTAGCAAAGCAAAGAGCGGGTGGCTGAAGAAAGCCAACGATCGGTCGAGACGAGATCACGAGCTGGATGGATGAGTCAGGAAATGATGAGCGCAATTCAGAGATCGAAGCTCTATGAGAATCCTCCAGCTGGCAAACAAGTCTAAGCTTCGCTCTAATTAAAACTACAATTACCTGAGCAGAAAGAGATCAGAGATCGAGACCAACACACAGGTAACGAAACAATAAACAATCGCAGAGCTTGATTGGATGTGAGGGGATTTCCTGCAAGCAAAATGCAGCTGCCGGCTATGTATCTCTAGACCCAAAGAACTCTCCCCCCACACACACGCACACACACACACACACACACACACACACACACACACATACAGAAGAAGGTAATATAAAAACAAGATCACCGAACCTTTCCAGATTGACCCAATTTTGAGGAACCGGCTTAAGAGGTAGCCAGCAAAGAGGCTGATCTGCAGAGGCTGGAGGCTGGACTGGGCTTTGGATGGGCGTTCGAATGGAGGGCAAGTAAGGTGTTAAACACACAGCCACAACCAGTTCCAGGTCCAAGCGAGAGCATTCTAGATGATTATCATGCCCAGCCCCAGCCCCAGTCCCAGTCCCAGGCCCAGTGCCAGTGTGTAAGCTGATAAATGACAACCAAATGAGCTTGCATAAAATTTCACCAACAAAACGACAAAACTTTTCGTACTTTCGTTCGTGTGTCTCGATGGATGTGGGGGGATATCTCGGAACTGCGCAAAGTGTAAGGTAAACAAGGCCCGAGAGAGATGAAAAGATTTACCAAGAAAACCGGTAGATGGCCAGAAGAATTCCCCCGACAGTGTGGAACGCCTGTACTTAAGCCGCCATTCGCCAGAAGATGCGATCAGTTGTTATAGCGACGACCAGCTGAGCAGATCGAACGTCCCAAGTGCAAAAAAAAAGTAACATGAGACCATACCAAGCAGTTGTAGTTCTAGGTAAGTGCCAGCAACCCAAACCCCAGTCCAGAACTGGCTCCTTGTGGCAGGTGCATCCAACCCACTTCCTGTCTCCCTCTTCTCCCTCTCTTCCCACAGTGGCCGCTCTGCTGCTGTTGGAGGCGGCTCCCATTGAGGCGAAGCGACGCAAGCACAAGGGTTCTGACCATCACCATCACGACAAGTCAGACTCCCAGAAGACCAAGACCAAGACAAAGTGGTCCAGCTCCACGGACCTGGCCGGCAACACTCAGGTGTCCACCGAGGAGCATGGCTACTACGTGAAGCGCACCTACGCCCCCCAGGCTGATGCCCAGAGCAGCAGGCGCATGAGTCCGCCCTTCCTGGCCATACCCATTGCCTGGTTCAGCTGCGAGCAGGGCCAAAAGGATTGCCAGGCCACCAACTCAGCGGCCATCAACAGCGCAGCTCAGTCCCTCAACGAGGGTTACCTCTGCGACGACGATTGCGTGGATCTCTATGAGCCCGTGTGCGGCAGGACACCCAATGAGGTGGCCGTCTTCTATAACCAGTGCAAGCTGAATGTGGCCAAGTGCCGCTCCCACGGCCTCTGGTCCGAATTGGCCTATGCCGAGTGCCAGCAGACATATCCCAAGGAGACTGCCTGCGCCGACAAGAAGTTCAGAAGTTCCCCCTACTTCCGTGACAGTGCCACCGTTGAGAAGCTGAACCAGGAGAAGGAGCAGCAGCAGGAGCAGGAGCAGGAAGACAAAAAGAAGCAGGAGAAGGACAGCAGTGAGAGCAGCGAAGAGAAGGAGGACAAGAAGCCCCTTGCTCTGACCCTGCCCCAGAAACCAGTTGAAGACGTGGCTTCCATTCTTGCACCTGTCCCCGTGAAGACTCCCGAAGAGATTGCCATGCCACCCATGCCCATGAAGGACACTCAATCCCCAAAGCCCTTGGTGATCGCCATGGCTGAGGCCGCTCCTGTGACCGAGCAGACCCCACCCAAGGTCGACAACGATAGGCTCCAGTATACGGTAGCCTAAAATTAAGAATCTCATTTATGCAATTAATATTTATTTTAATTTTAACAAATAAAATAATTTGAGAAAAATACTTGCAAGGGGATTTAAATTGTAGCAATTAAAAAAAAGGGCGAAAGATGCGAAAGAGAATGCAAGCCATCGATTGATGGGGAAGTTATTTTATATTCCATAATTATTTGTATTGCAAGGAAAGAGCTAATCTATTAAGCCATTATAATGGATATCTAATAGATTGTGAAGCATTTGATTATAAAACGTCAAACAGTCGGTGCTCACAGTTTGTTCGGAATGGAAGCTTATTCCTTTCTAAATAACACAAAATAACTTTGTCGCCAGTTCTCCGTCTTGAATGCGGTTCGTATAAACGTAACAAGCTCAAATGAAGGAAAACTGAGATACTACAGACCGACAGATACTTTGATCTATGCGTTATAAGAGTAGAACAAGCATGGACATGATCCATGGATGTGAAATATTTGTCCCAATGGCTTCTACCAATTATTGAAAATATTTCATGTGGTAATAAAGATTTACGAAAATCCAACAACGATTTGATGAACTCAATCTGCAGCAAAATGTATAGTAGAATTTATTCTATCTCCAATATATTTCGATTGCCCAGCAGAAAACGGTTAAGCCCCATCCCAAGCGTTTATTCGTTTTATACGAGCATGGATGCATGGTGCATTGATGGACAAGTGCATTGACCCGGGAAACAAGTTCTATAAACTGATTGAGCGCCAAAGATATCAGTAGCTGAATAGGGCCATCATTAGAAGTTCAACACTAAACCTAATTGGTAGGGCGTGGGCTGGACAGTGGTTTGCCCCAAGCCACCACGAGATGGCCGCTATAAAAGCTGCGAGGAATTCTGCAGCAGGGCACAGAAGTCATCCGACTGCAATGGGAGGCAGAAGAGTCCGACAACTGCAGCTACTGATCCTGCTAAGCGGAGGTGAGTCTTGAACTTCGGAGAACGAAAAGATCTATCAAAAAGATTTATCCCTCCACAGCTCTACTATGTGCTCGAGCTGCACCAACTGGAGAGCCAGCGGAGGAAGGGACTGTGACCCAATTCCCTGCCGAGCAAATCGAATCAGAGTCGCGATCGCAGAAGGATGTGGATATTTTGGAAGTAGACGAGGACCTGGACGGCAGGAGCGCTTATGTCAACAATCAGTTTGTGCCCAGTGAGCCCGTGGAGCTGGTGGATGATGAACAGAATGCGCCGCTCTACGAGATACTTCAGAAGCAAATGGAGCAGGTCCTGGCCTCCACGGGGCCCAACGATCCTGTTTACGAGCACAGGGAGAAGCAGGACAGACGAGATCAGCAGCCACCGAATCGAGCACCTCCACTCTTCACCAACAACCATCCGAACGATGCCGAATCGGACGATGACTACGAAGATGAGGAGGATCGAGCGGACTTGGGCTACAACAGCGATCAGGAGAAGCCAGATGCAGCTTCCCTGCTGGAGGAAGATGAGCAGACCGAGGCGGGCTATCAGGTGCCACAGCTGCAGCCATCGACCATTGCTACCAGCACCACCCGCAGACCCCACAGACGCCGCAGCACCACTGCGCATCCACGCACCACACGCGCAAGAGCCTCAGCGCAGCCCAGAGCCACACCAAAGCCAGCGAACCTGACCACCACATCAAGCACCAGCGCCACTGAGGCACCAGCGCCGACCACTACGACGAGTCCCAGTCCAAGGCCGAGCCTCAGTCCCAGTCGCAGGCCACTGCCGCATCCATCCAACAGTCTGCCCAGCGATCCTCAGGTCTACCAGCACAAGCGGCGCATCATCTTCAAGACAATCTCAACGGGCTCGCAGTTCATCAACTCACCAATTGGCGACCTCATGATTAAGTTCTCCATTGGCTTTGCCAAGCCAGCAAATGGCGCAGCAGCAGTCCCGTCCACCGAGGCGCTGCGTGCCCTCTCGAACAATTTACTGCGAAGCATCGAACTGCAGAAGCTGAAGAGAGCCAATAAAGTGCCGAGAGATTAATCAAAGTTGGAGCAATATTGATCAGATTAGAGTTCATTTTTTAATGTTAGTTAAGCTTAGAAGGATAGTCGCAGGTGGGGGATGGAGGATGCCACAAGATCAAACAGAAAGCTATCTAGTAAACAGGATTATTATTGGCATCCCGGAGGTGGTGTAGAGGTGCTCCCACTGCGGCTATCCTTATCGTTGTTCTTTCGAGTCCATCGTTTCGATCGGTGCAAGTCTTGTTAGTGTTAATCGCTAAGCGGTTTGGAAGCTTTACAAAAATAGATATACAAGTGAATGTGTGTGCTCATCGCACTGGCCAGAACTTGAGAGCGAGAACGGGTATGGTGACGCCCGTGATGATGCTGGAGATGAGATTGACACTGTGGTTGTCCAGAATGCGCAGGCCGCTCACATGACGCACACCCTTGCCGGGTGCATCCACAATTTGGCCCTGCTCATTGATGCCCGAGAACTGCAGCACGCCGCCCAGGAAGGAGTCCAGCAGCGAGCCAAAGAGTCCGGCAATGCCACCAAAGAGGATTATTGGCCACTGCGGTGGACTCACTAGCAGCATTTTGGCATCCACGGTGTAGCGGACGGTGACAAAGTAGCCAAAGCCCACGAGGAAGCCGCCCAGCAGGCTGACGACGACGCCGATCAGCGAGATGCCTCCGTTGGTGCCGCGCGGCACGCGTCGCCAGCTAATGATGGAGATGGGATCACGCTGGGAGAGCACGCTGCCCAGCTCGCTGGACCAGGTGTCGCCGTTGCAGCAGGCGAAGGCGCTCATCACGGCAATGCCCAGCCAGCTGGAGCGGTACTCCTTGGAGAAGTCAATGGCCCGCTCGCCGCAGCCGCAGTCGATGAGGTAGAGCAGTGCCAGCTGGGCAGCCATTCCTCCGTTGCACAGAACCTGGACCCAGTTCCGCTGGCCCTCGCCCTCCTTGAAGTCGTGCTCGAAGCGGCGTTTCATGTGCGCCCGGAACTTGGTGGCCCGCGACGAGCTGAAGAAGAACACCACCAGGCTGGCGAAGAACGGATGGCTGGCTATGGACAGTATGAAGGCCACCACAATGCCCAAGGCCGCTCCAGACTGGCTCACCGAGCGTCGACGCAGCGCCACCGTCATCAGTGTGAGGGGCGCCAGCGTGGAAAAGAGCCAACGCATGGGCGGTATCACCCGGGGCTCTGTCAATCAATCAATTAGATAACCTTTTGCATTCTGGAGTATATTCATGCAGTTACCCACCTTCGTAGGTATCGCTGCTCCAGATCTTCGAGAGGGCCACGTTGCCCAGCCACATGAACAGGGAAATGGGTATGGCCAGGCCACAGAACAATACCGGCATCCAGTTGCGCATCGTTTTCGATTTTTACATGCAGTTTAAGTCGTTTAAATTCACACTTTCTCCAGTCTGATTTGTTTATTTTTGTTTTTTGGAATGCCGACTAGCGATATCGATAAAATATACCGACAGACAGTCGGAAATATACCGACAGATACCCTTGCATTCTCAAAATATACTGTAAATCTTTAATTATTTTCCTTGATTTTGATGTTCTGTTTCATATTACTTGATATTTAGGAGTCTCCGCGCTGAAAGTATAATTTTATCCAATTAATCAATCAATTCTCCACAAGATTGGCTAGTTTTAACGATTTTTTTCTTTGCATGTTTCCAAATTAAGTTTTAAACTGACCAACAAAACTGTCACAAAACGTTACGTGAGTGGGAATTGTGGGATATTTAAAATATCATTTATCCGGCTGCTATTAAAAATTAATAGAGACTTTATGTTAGATTGACTTGTTTTTAACATTTTCACTTTCTCGATATCCATAATATGGAAAATTCTATACCGATACCGTAGACATACTGTGAACTCAATTTCCTAGTCAAAATATCCTGAGAAGTAATAAACCTTAAATGGTCTCTTAGCGTATTAGCTTTGCGTATTTTTTGAAACAACGACGCCATGTTATCAGTAAGCGACCATCTCTACGAAATCTGTTAGCTGCACTTTTAAGTTAACAGCGTGCTGTTAAGCGCACCGTTTGAATTCAAAAAATTGCATGATGCTCACGTACAAGTCGTAGTTGATGCTTTATAATAAACCATTAAACAGGTAGTTAGGAGAAGTAGAACCCCTCTAATCGTTGCACACGCTTATCGAGCTCCTTCACCAGACTCGTTATCTCATCCAGCTGGGCAGAGCAGGAGCAGCCCGACGACGAATCAAAGGAAATATCCAATACCTGCGGAAAGTTCGTCTGGTTATGGCTTTAATTACGTATGGAAAATGTCAGAGTAAGGCTAAGAGGAGTAAAAGCTATTGGAAGAAGCGTGGACTGGGGCTGCGAGGCTTGAAGTCCAACTCCTTGGCCACCAAACTATTTCCGCGTGACGACTGACGAGCACTTAAAGTCGTAGCCGAAGAGGATTTGCTGGCACTCTTTGGTGTCTGTGGCTGCTTTGTGTGTTCACTGTCAAGCACCTGGAAGTTTTCATCCAAATTTTTGTAGGCCTGCGACTGGCGCATATCGATGCGAATGCTCCGATCGTTCGACTGGGCTGTGCTGCTGGCGTTGCTCTGCTGGTAGGAGGAGGCTGCGCTCGTGTCGCAGCTGGTGGAGGCCAGGGCCGACTTGGCCTCGAACTTGGAGGCGTCGTAAGTGTGCAGATTCGACTGCCACACCAGCAGCTGAAATCACAGATGAGAGGATTACACAAACAGTCAATGGAGAAGCGGAAGCCACAACTCACCTGGCGATCATTGCCGCCCGTGGCAAACTTTTCCCCATTCTGGGAGAATCCCACAGCGTTAACGGCACCCGTGTGGCCCGTCAGTGTGTAGATGGGTCTGCCCTCCAGCAGGTCCAGAATGCGAATGGTGCAGTCATCGCTGCCGGATAACAGAAAGTGCCCGCTGGGATGGAAGGCCACATCGTTGACGGGCGCAGAGTGGACCACGTACAGCTGCAGCAGCTGGCTGGCGGCCACATCGAAGATCTTGATGCGGTTGCAGCCGAGGGCCACGGCCACCATGTTGCCCCACGGATGCCAGGCCACCTGCCGTGGGGCAGCCCGCTCCTCGGTGAAGGTGCGCACGCACTCGCCCGTGTTCACGTCGTAGATACGCAGCGACTTGTCGTCGCAGACGGTAGCAATCATCTTCCCGTTTGGACTGAACTTGGCGGCTCGCACCCAATTGGTTTGCTGGGCGAAGGAGGAGATGAACTGGCGCTTGGCCACGCGCCACATTTTCACGGACTTGTCGTCGGAGGCCGTCAGCATCATGTGGCCGGTCGGATCAAAGTCGATGCTGCGCACTGGCTTGCTGTGCGCCACAAACTCCCCGGACACGCCGCGCACCTTCGGTTCCCAGATCTTCACCGTGCGGTCGTGGCCGGCGGAGGCCACCAGGTTGCCCTTGGGCGACCACGACACTCCGTACACCGGTGCCGCATGCGATCCAAAGCGAATGCAGCGGGCTGCCTGATTCAGATTCCACAATATCACAGAGGCGTCCAGCGAGGATGTCGCGATCTGCGAGCCTTCGGGGCTGAAACGCAGTTGGGTGATGCTGCCCGAGTGGCCAGTGAAGTGACGGTCGAGGGCTGGGTCGCTGAACATGTTTTATTTCCTTTTTAATCCTTTTTTATGTTATTTCAACAAATTGTTTATATGATTTAGCGCTTTGTTTGAAATAAAATGCGTCGTCTGTCAGTGATGATGACCCTCACAAAAATACCGACAGACCCTCGGAAATATACCGAAATATACAATTTTATTTTCCAAATATGGTGTAAGTGTACCGTAATTTTCGTCGACTTTGATCTTCACACTTTACGTTACATTTTATCCCATACATGAATCAATTGCCTACAATATTGGGTAACTTAACTTATCTGAGGAGTGGGCTTTGTACCCGCGATTGATTTTCCGCCTTTCTGCCCTTTTTGAGCTGTTTGTTCTTAGCTGTTATTCTTATGGTAGTGTAAACTAACATGAAATGTTATTGAAGTAACACTCCAATTGGGAAGCTGGCAGCTTGAGTGAAATTTTGAGTACGCATTTGCAAGAAAAAGCCGATAGGAGAGGCTTCACACGTAAGTGCAAGTAATGCGCAACAGATGGCGCACAATGTATGTAAGAAAAATGTAACATAAAAATTCAGCAATCGAAATATCAAATGAAAATCCAAGTGTAATTCGAAAAAAAGCAAGATTAATAGATTTGTTTAAAAAAGAATTGTTTAAGGTAAATCTTTAAAAAAATCACTGCAACAAGAGTCTCGACAGCGGCACAGATTCATATATGTTTGACATCAAACACGCCATCTGTTGGGAGAGAGAAATGACGAGCAGATCCTTTATTTGACCACTCTTGTGTGTGGTGTGCCTTTTCTTGGAAAGTGTCCCTACCTGCCTGCTGTCATTATCCTTATTCTTCCGCATGCCGTCGTCGAACTCTGGGCTAGTTCATTCAACTTCAACCTGCCAAAGCAATTCCTGCCGCACTCTAATGATCTGATCCTCGCTGTTTGGACTTGGAATTGGACTTGGACAAGTTCAATGGCCACGCCATGCCAAACAAACTGCCACGAGTATCGCTATCGGGCTAATTATGCGTTTGCCAGCATACAGTAACCGGGAGACGACTCTAACCCAAAAGCCGACAACAAATTAAACAACAAAAAGTGACAGGAGTGCAACTGTGAAAGTGCAGTAAACGGCAAACGGCAAACGGCAAACAGCACACGACAAACGTCAAACGGCATAGCGGACTACAAACAAAAGCCACCGACGAACGAACGAGCGGGCTGAGGGCCCCGAACTGGAGCCGAAGCCGAGCTGAACTTTGAGAAATTAGTGTGACAAGCGCACGATTTCCACCTGTAGCTGCTGGCCCCTTAACTGTTCTTTTGCCAAAATGCAGTTATAGGCTGTCGAACCCGCAAAACTTGCAACTTGCAACTTGCAACCCCTGCTAATGTGCAGATCGCATAGACAAAAGGTCATTGTCATCTCCACAGCTCTGGGGTGGGTTCAACAAACTGTTTTTTATCAAAAAACTGTTGCACTTTCAAATAAACTAAGCTAAAGTGCCCCCAAGGGATCGCTCTCAAGCACAGTGAAAAATCCTCAAACGAAGGTAACGGGATGGCAAAAGTATTCCCGAATTTTGGATGCTCTACAATAGGTTCAATGACTTTTACACGATGATTTCCTCAGCACTCAAATGTTCACAGAGAGATGAATATATTCTGGCCTTTTCCCTTACTCCACTTTAAGCTGAACAAAGGTCTTTGCATATCGCATGTACTTGTCCTCGAAGGGTTTTGCCAAATGAGAGGTCCTTGTTCCCGGTGGCATGTGGCTTGTGCCACAAACGAGCCGCAATAAGCGGCACCAGATCCAGGACCGGGACTGAGACCGGGATCGAGACCCGAGAAGACCCCAAAGGTACCGACCAATCAAGCAACGGACGGGACCGATCGACCCTTTTGCCAAAGTCAGAGCCAGAGCCAGAGTCTGAGCCAAAGCCAAAGCTTCTCGCTACACCCTGGAGCGAGGGCCTTCATTTGGCTCGTGTCATCTGTTGAATTATAAAATATGGCAAGGAATTAATTTGCCAGCCAGCCAGTCAGCCAGCCCTTCCATGCCCTGGGTCGAATCTGGCACAGCAGCAGCAGCAGCAGTCGCAGCAGCAGAACAGCAGCAGAAGGACCAGAATAGCAGGATAACGATCCAAATCATCTACCGCTATGCTCTCGCCCTCTCTTTGCTGCTCTCTCTCTGTCTCTCGGTCGCTCTTCCTATCTTCTGAGCACCTGTCGCCTGCCCGACTCTGACTCTGACTCGAATCCCAGTCCGAATGTCGGGGATCTTCTGGATGCGCAGACAAAACGCTGAGAAAAGGTGCGCTTAAATTCTTTTAATGACTTGCCTCGCGTCCTCAACCTGCTGATCCTCAGTGGCAGCTCTTGTGGCCTCTTCCATCCTTTTGTTTGTGTGTGTGTGGATCGTGTGTGCCGCAATTTGTTGCTCATTGTGTGCGTGCCTCCGTCTGCTGTTTGCCTCAAAATCTGTCTATAATCTGTGTTTTAGGCCCATGCCACAATTGATTTCCGACTAAGCCTCAAAAAACCCGAAAACACCTTGAGATCGGCCCCACTCCAATTCCCATTCCTCTGTCGTTGCACTCTTGGGTCTTCCCGCCTCCCCGCCTCTATCTCTTTGACTTTGCACCTTTTCTCACAAAATCCGTACAAATTTCGTGTTTAGATTTTGTCATTTTAATTGCCGGGACTTGGCTTTTGGCTTTGTTTTTAGTTCTGTTTTGACATTCGCTTTCGGCCCGATTCAACGTCTTGCAACCCTTTTTTTCTAAGCCCTCGTCGGATCGTTGACTGTTGACTGTTTACTGTTTGCTGCTTGCTGTTCTACCCTACCCTTCCCTGGCTTCTTTGTCTTGCCAATTAAGCTGTTTAAATAGATTTCACAATTCACAGCTCTGTCTTGGCCCCAGAGGGTTGATTTGCATATTTGACTTGGATTTGTCAATGCATTCGCTGCATTCAAGTCGAAAGAGCTTAAGATTTCCTCCACCCTCAAGATGGTCGGGCGGGGTGGTGGCCAAGACTAATCTCCAACTTGTAGACTAGTCATTGACACGGCATTCCCTTGGCTTCGCTTTGCTTCCGATTTGGCCAGCGAACTTGGGCCACTCAGATGTTCGTTCCTTGTGCCGCCTTGGGTGCTCGGTGTTCAGTCTTGGCTGATTCGTTTTCAATCTCAACTTTCGAGGATGGAGATTGAAAGGAAAGTCTGCCTGTCCCTTGCTCTTCCTCCCATCCAAAACTAATCAAAACTGTGACTACTGTAGGGGATTGTGTAAAGAAGTCGCCCGCTGGCATCACCTGTCCTTAAGTGTCCATTAATACAGTGCTATTCCCCATTAGAGTTCATCATCCAGCAATCAATTGGCTACAAAACTACGGATCCAGAGCAAGCCAGGTGACAATGCTCAATCAAAGAAAGGTGCAGCAATCATAACTTATCAGTTTCAATTCCATAAAAGGCCAAAAGGGAAGAAGCGACAGCGCACGGGAGAGAGGCAACCAAGCCGTAGGCCTGTTCAAATTGGGTCACTTTTGGCCTGGCCGACAAGTCGATCTTGTAATATCGATCGAGCGAGCGTGACAGGTGCAGAGGTGCACTTACAATTGTTGTTGCACCTTCCTTTTCCCCGACTCCCAGATCGAGTGTGTGGATTTTGTATCTTGTATCTGAGAGCAGTCGTACATGTATTAAGCGACAGCTTGTGGCTCAAAACACACACACGGCATGGACTCCCCTGAGGGCCTAGATTAGATGCAGATCTCAGTGTCTCTCTCTCTCTCTCTCTGTCTGTGTGCCGAATGTTTTTGCGGTCTGTCTGTCGCTGGGGCGAAAGATTTTTATGACTTTTGCATCTTTTGGCTTCTGCTGCCGCTGTCTGCTCGTGGTGTCGTGTGGCCCATGTCAACTGGGACTCACTGGTACTGCTGGCTGTAAGTCTCGGCTCTGAGGCAGAGTCTGGCTGCTGTTGTAATTTGCCTCCTGGCATATGTTGGCCGCAAACCGGCTTTGAGCACGCGTCGAGACGCTTGTCCTGGCTCAATAATTGAGCGCCAAGCCACGACGACTACGACGACGACGACAGGTTCCAGGATTCTGGGATGGCAGCAGGTGCTTGGCTGGGTACAGGCAAAAAGGGGAATTGGAATCGGAATCAGCGCCAGGCTGCAGCTCCTCTGCCTGCTTACAATGAAAGGACATAAACATAAATGAGCCGATGTAATGTTGAGCCGCTGTTCCTTCCTTCGGTCGGTCCTTCTTGAGCCCCATCTCGCTCTATCTGTGTGTTACAGGTGCCTTTTCCGTTCATCAGATGCATCCATCCCCTCCGCATTTTAATTGTGAGCCTGAGCCCGAGCCCGAGCCCGAGCCCGGTTCACCTGCACCACAGCCGAGCTGCGATCGAGCCGAACTCAGGAACCAAACCAAACTGACCTAAGACATCGTTTTTGCTCTTGCTGCACGCGGCCCGGGCTCTTCACCTTTTTTTTTTTAGCCGCAACTATTATTTTTATTAATAGCCAAAGTCAAAAGTCACCTGCCCGGCCACAGAGACAGACCAGAACAGACCAGACCAAAAGGTGACTCTGACTAAGGCTAAGGCTAGGGGTAGCCGGAAAACGGAACCTAACCGAATCGGGAAGGGTAGGGAAGGTAGGGAAAGGTAAGGACGTGCACATGCCCATGTTGCCCATGTTGCGGGTTAGGCCTCTTCAAGCACCACTTCTAAGATCAATTTCCTCTTCACCTTTCATTTTTCCCCTAAGAGTTTTCCCTCGATTCTTATTGTTGTTTGCTTTGGGGTTGCAGCTTTCATTTCATTTCATTTCGTTTCGTTTATTCTTTTTTTTTTTGTATTTTTTTGGTGCTCTTTTGTTTTTCATGGGGGCTTGGCCCGACTCTTGGGCTGGCTGTTGAATAAATTCCAAACGGCATGACAAATTATGTGGGCTCAGGTGTTACGCGGTAAAAGGGGTTAACAAACCTAGAGCTAGAGCTGCAGATAGAGCTGGATCCGTAGCCGAAGAGTGACTCCAGCATATGGCATCGATGGTTTATGCATTTATCTCTACATCTTATCGTTTCTCGAAAGTGTCCACGAAAGTTGGTGGGTATGTGAGGATATTTGATTGTTTTTACTTTCCTTATTCCATACTCAAATATGTTTTATATAGAAAGAACTGCCAGCTCTGCAGCAAGGAAACTTTCTCTTTCTGCCTATTTCTGCTCCCTGTAATCCTGTAATCTATGACTTGTTCCCACCATCTGCAATACACATCGAAGTTCTGTGACCAACTCTGTGAACTTAACCTTGATAATCTTCACTCTCTTGTCTTCACCTGCCTGGCAAAACTTTCATCTATTTCACGACCCAAAGGACACGGGGCTGGGGCTCATGTTGTGTCTACATTCTTTGGCTCTTTGGACTTACTTTGTCGGCACTTGCCGAAAAAGTCCTTGAACTGCATTTTTGCGTGGCAGCAATTGAACTGCATATTTCTCTCTCTTTCTGCTTCACTGTCGTTGCTGCTCTTTTTGGTTTTTTTGTGGTTCAATATTTTGTCAATTTCGATCAATTTGTGGCGTGCCAAAGCCCCCGGATCCAGTTCTTGGGGGGAGAATCGCTTGAGTGAAATCCTTCGACGACTTTTTCGCTTGTTCGTTCGCTGATTTCTGATTGCGGCCAACGATGAATGGCGATAATGAGGGGAGTCGGTGATTTGTAAACTGCCAAACTTCATTTCGGGCGTTTTAAAGTGCCGCAAAATGCATTTGGACATTTCGATTACCGAAAATTGCGACCAGCAATCCTCAATGACCATTGCCACTGCCTCTGTCCCCTGTGCCCCTGCCGATCTGCTCTCACTCCTTTTCTCACTTTATTTCGGCTGCAATTAGTTCGAACTTCGAACACTTATTGGCGTTTTCCCAAAGGAGCGCAGGGGCGGTGGTGCAGGGGCAAGTAACTGCTGTAACGCGGCGGCTTACAAAGGGCATTCCCAGGATGCCACATGGACCACAGATCAAAGATCACCGCGTCACCCGATCAACGAAAACAGGAGCAGCAGCAGCGAGGCAACTTATTCCCCATCAATTGAGTACGTGCAGGAATTTATCTATAAAATCAGGTTTTCGGCAAAGAGCACCCCAAAAAATACCAAATATTTGGAAGGCTTTGGACAATTTGTAATAAAATGTGGGGGCACTTCAAAGGAGGAGTCTGTGTCCTTGATGCTAAGGAATGTCTCTCAGTTGGGCCTGGGGCTAATGAAATATTTAGCCCATATTTATGAAGATATTCATATGAATATTCATCACTCTTTTTTCCCAAAATTAATTCAAATTTCTTTTCCTTTAGCTTTCAACTTTATTTTCCAAAAAATCATAGGCTTATAAATAATAATTATGGTTACATAAATCATTGGATAAATTATAAAATTAGAATAAACTAAAAGAGATTCACAATAATTCGTATAAATAATTGATTTGGGGTAACTTAAATAAATGAGGACGCAAAAATTTGGACAAGTTTTGGACAAGTTGAAGGATTTTCAAGCTCTTTCTCTTGTTGGTCGTTCGGTTGGTCGGTTGTTCTTTGGTACGTTTAGCTGCCAATTTGGGGTTAAATAAACGTTAATCGAATAAATTAAGTTTGATTACTTATGCTAAGGTGTAACGTATATAAGTTTATATAAGAATAAGTCTTGTTGGGATTACTATTTACAGAGGGAGGACTTAGGGCTAGAATTGAGCAAACTTCTTAGCTAACAAATGGGAAGGACACCCTTAACAAAAAGATCTCTCAGCTGGTTCAACTGTGCGAAAGGCCAAGAGAACACAAACTTTGGCTTCCTAGCAGCAGCGACTGCCACCTCCACCTCCACCTCCTCCTCCTCAGCTAATACTGGGATCCGATCCACGGGGGTGCTCGGCTGTGTGTTCGGGTGTTCCAAGGTGGTGGACTGCGAGTAGCTGCTGTCAACAGCTGCTGCTGCTGACCTCCATTTTGAGCAGCGCGGGTGGCTTCAGGTCATCGAGGGGTGGCGCCTCCTCGTGGCGGCTCTCCCGGTGCCGCCTCAGGTCCACCTTCCGCTGGAAGGACTGATCGCAGAGGCCACAGCCGAAAGGCTTGTAGCCCGTGTGCTTGCGCATGTGTGTGATCAGGTTCGAGCTCTGACTGAAGGCCTTCAGGCACACGGTGCACTTGTGCGGCTTCTCGCCTGCAAACGGAGGGAAATCAATAAACCATTAGCCAAATGAAAAGTGTACAAAGTTGATTATAAATTGCGGGGTCTGTTTGTTGCGCAGCTTTACAGCAATTAGACAAATTGAAGAGCGATAAAAATCATTTCCACTCGCTGATTTTAGGACGGGGCTTTGACACTTGTCGGGGTATATTCTGATTTATAAATGGAGTTTGGAACTTACCCGTGTGTATGTATGTGTGCTTCTTCATGTCGGACTTTTGGTGGAAACGCTTGCCGCAGTACTGGCAGGGATATGGCCGCGTATCGCTATGGATGAGCAGATGTGTCGAGAGGGTGGACGAACGCTTGAACGACTTGCCACACTGTTTGCACTGCAAAGAGACAAGGGAATGTGTTTAATTTTCAAACAGAACCAGTCACGATCAAGTCCCGAAAATGCCCCATATTTGTACAGCCTGTAGCCCCAAGAAAAGGTAAATCTGAAAGAGGAATATCCAACCCACACATTCTATATAACTCTTATATAAATACTCTCCGCTTTGTGTGGTGTGTTTGTGCTGCGTGCCAAATTCTCGACAGTCACATGAATTAAACTAGATTTGTGAGTGCACAAATATTTGTCCAACAGGTGACGACGACAAACGGAGGGAAAACCCAAAGCCAAACTTTGCCCCCGCCTACATTGTTGCCCGATAGATTCTCGGGCTTATTTTTGCATTTCACTGCGTGGAAAAAAACAGCTAATCAAACAGTGGGGAACAGAGGGAAGGGATTCAGCTCAATGCTAAATCTCAAGTGAGACACTCTCTGTGGGTGCAAGTGAGTGGCTACGATCCGATATTTGTAGGCCAAACACAGCAGGTATCGACTTGGGGATTGGATGATCGAGCTGAGCTGAGCTGAGCTGAGCTGTGCTCCCTCCCTGTAACATCTTCGCTTGTCAGATTAAATGTTTAAACAGTTTGCGGTGTTGCTGCAACATGGCTGTAAACATTGACACACTCTCACAGAACAACAACACCACAGCTCTGCCCCCTGATACGTGGGTGACATTTATTAAACAAAAATAAAAATAACAAAATACAAAATGTGGGGAAAAAAGTGAAACATTTTTTACCCAAAAACCCAACACGCTCTACGCATATTGTAAATTGACACAAGTGTCGGTCGCTCTTTCTCTTTCTCTTTCTACTCCTACCTTTAATTTCTTTCACTCTTTGTGTATTTTTCTGTGTCTTTTCCTTTTGGGATTTTCTATTTGCGGATTGCATTCGAGTGGACCATATAGCCATATCCACTGCCAATACGTATCTCCCCATATAGGCTAGACCCAATTAGTTGCTCTATTGTTAAGCTCGGCTCGAGTCGACTCCACTCTGAGCCACAATGTCAATTTGCTTAGCTTCGACAACGAAACGGAAGTTGGCGAAGCACAACAAAAAATACTCTCTGCTGGGTGTGGGGCAGCTGAGGAGAAACCCCAAAGTCTGACTCAGCCTCAGGGTGGGCCTCCTACAGGGTAACAGATGTAAGGAATTACAGACACACAACAAAAAATATAAGACTCAATTTGAATATAAAAAAAAGACTCCTTCTGCATCTGCGCCTGCGACACTCACTCTCTTTTTCTCTGTGGCAACTGTCTTTGGCCATATGGCCTGGAAACCTTTTCTTTCGGCTCGGCCTATCACATTTCACTCACTGACCCTCTCCATGGATGTGTGAAAAAAGCGAAGAGGGACATCGACATCGAGAACGAACTCGCGGCGGGTGTTGATGGATATAAACGCAATATGACATCGGGGGTAGGCAGAGCATGAGCCCGGCTCGAACGAAGCCTTCTCGAATTCCACATGGTCGTGTGCCCCCCCCCGGGCACTGGCACTTGCAGGGTTAATGCGTTGGAAAAAAGGGGAACAATCCAATATCGAAATGACAATTATGATTGTAATTTGTACATAAATCCTCCGAAGGAGTCTACCCACCCCACCTCACCCCACCCCATCCTAATCAAAATTATTTGATTAACTAATTGCGTGATTTCGATGGGACTTAATTGAATTTCCATAGAGCTCTCTCTTCTGTCCCTTCGCTGTTATTACAGTATTTGCTGTGCCACTTTTCCAAATTGAAACAATGGTGGGAGGAGCTAGGAGGTGGGGTGGATGTTGGTCTAGCACTATCGATATCTCCGAGGACAATTAAAACCGTTCGAGGACAAAATATGAAACAATTAACACGAGGGAATTGCCAAAGACACGCAATGCAAACCCGAGGGGTCTTATGCAATGGAAGGACTCCTCCAAAAAGGACTCCCCCAAAACTGGACACGTGATAAACGCATTAGAGACGGGCAGACAGTGGGACAGTCCTTGGACTGCTCACAGATTTTTGTGCACTGATCGATCGAGGCTGCTGGATGAATCTCTGAAACATTTCCGTTGCCCGATTCGATATCCTGTTTGACTGGGCTTACCTGGAAATTCCTGCCGCTGCGCTTCTCCTCGCACTCGCCTTGGTACGACGACGAGGAGGAGGATCGACGCGCAACATCTGTGGCGGTCGAGTCAGGATGTTGCTGCTGCTGCTGCTGCTGCTGCTGCTGGTGATGATGTTGCAACTGTTGCTGCTGCTGCTGCTGCTGCTGGGGTTGGGGCTGCTGCTGCTGCTGCTGCTGTTGTTGTTGGTGTTGATTACGCATATAACCGAATTCGGCGGCTGCCACCAGGCCCATAAGCGCCGCTGCCGAACGGTTATCCTGCTGCTCGCTGCCTGCTTCATCCTTGATGTGTTGCTGCTGCTGTTGGGACTTGAGGTGCTGCGTGAGCAGCTCCAAATTGTTGCCCGTGAGGCCGGCCATGAAGGCGCTGCGATGGGCGTACAGCTGCTGCTGTGCCACCTCGAAGTCCATGTCCTGGACAGCCGTGGCCTGGGGTGCGGACAGCGAGGAGATCGGCGACTGCAGGGAGGACACTGAGGCTGCCGATCGTCGCTCGTACTTGAACTTCCGCACAATGGGATCCACCTGCGGCTCATCCTCCTCGTTGTATTCGCTCTGCTGCTCCCTCCTCGCCGATCTCTCGCACATGGAGGCTGGCGACCAAATAATGTTTCCCTGCGATCTCTGTCTCTGCTGCTGCGGTGTTCCCGTGGTCTTGAGATTCACCGCCCTCAGGGGTGGCGGTGTGACATTCAGGGCAGCAATGGGATGCACGGCCTCCGCATCGCTGAGGCTCCCTCCGCTGGTGCTGCTCCTGCTGCTGTTGCTGCTGCTGTTGTGATGATGATGATGATGATGGTGATGGCGGTGGTGATAGTGCTCCTGCTCCGAGTGCTCTGACTGCTCCGACTTGCTGCGCTCCTTGGTGCTTAGGTTTAGTGGCATGTCCTCGTCTTGATCCTGCAACAACTCCTTGTTGTTGCTGTTGGTTTTATTGGTGGTGCTGTGCTGCACTTCCTGCTCCTTCTCGGGGGTCAGTGCGTAGTCCCGATCCCGCTGACCCAACACTATGGAGGCAGGCGATTTCGGTGTCATGGGCGTCAGGGGAGTGCCCAAGGCTGTGGCGGAGGACAGCAGGAACTGTGGCCACAGCAGTGCACTGGAGTACAGCAGTGGGTTATAGAGGAAAGGCAGATCTGCGGATGGGAATGATCGGAAAGGAATCGATAAAATAAAATGGGATCTACGCTGGCAGAAGCAGAGGTCTTGGGGATGGGAGAGACAGATCTGTGATCATTCCAACTCACCTCTTCCATTGAGCTTTTGGGCTGCTGCCGAGGCTATCACAGTGTTGAAGGCGGATGCCCGTTGCATCCACTGTTTGTCCAATGCTGGACCCGCGTAGCCCGCTGGACTGGGCTGCTGCGAGTGCGGCGATGGCGGCGGCGACAAATGATTCATTTTGGTTGGGGCTAAGCTTTTCGCTCTCACTGTTACTGCGAATGCTACTGCTGCTGCACTGGCGCACAATTTGTTTATAATATTTTGTGTATTTGCTTGTTTTCTGTTCACTGCACAAATCTCACTTTTCTCGAGCTGATCTTCGGATCTGTTTTCTTATTATTTTATTTGAATGTATTTTATTTTATTTTATTTTATACAGTTAATATGAGAGTTTGGTTGGTTAATTCTTTGACTCTCTGGAGACGAACACGTCCGTATCGCTCGGTGCTTCGCACCTGACTGAATCTTTGGCCGATTGCTCGGTTCTAAATTGAGCCAACGGTGAAGCGTTGTGGCCCGAAAAAAAGTAAAGGTACTACCACATAGAGCTCTGTCTCTGTCTCTGTCTCTGTGTTTCTGTGTTTCTGTGTGTGTGGCAGCAAGCCGAATCAAAACGAGCCCTCGTCTGTGTTGGTGTTCCCTCTTGGTGGTGGTGACTGGCCCTTGTCTGTGTGTGTGCGTGTGTGTGTGTGTGTTTGTGTTACCAACTCTGGTTTTTCACCTTTGGCAGCAGTTGGCGGCTGTTGCAGTTGCAGTTGCAGTTCCTGCTGCTGCTGCTGCTGCTGATGTTGTCCTGCATGTTGTAAGGGTCAAGACGCACAGTTAGGCAGCAGTGATCCCCTCTCCCTCTATCAGTATCAGTGGCTTTGATCGTGCTCTCCCTCCTGCTCCTCCTGCTGCTGCTGCTGCTTCTCTTTCTGTTTGTTGGCAGCACGCGTTTCCCCTACTAATTGGTATGCAGTTTGCTTTGGCGGGGCGTTTGCTGTCCTTTTCTTTGCTTGCCGCATTGTAACTGTTACATTTTCTGTTACTGTTCTTGCCACCAACTGTTGTTGTTGGCTCTGACACACTTGAGCGACAGAGATGCAGCGACACAAACAGACTGTGAGCGTTGAGGAAGTTATTGGAGTAGCGGGATGAGGCGGTGCCCGGGGTGGGTTGACTTACAAATATTTATGCACGTGGATGGATCTATACATCCAACAGCTGTCGCGGACATTTCCCACATGTGCAGTGCAATTGGAAATACAATTTTGATTAAACTATGATTGCAATTGCATTTTGTATCTGTGTTAGACTTAAGGTTTTCGCTTAATTTATTAACTACAGTTGGGGGGTTTTTGCAACATAATAATGCTGCAAAATGTAGTTAAAAGTTCGCTGAGCAAATGCATTTTTTTTCAAGATTTTAAAGCAGTTTTCAAACTAAGAAAGTTAACTTTAGGTTTAGGAAATGTATCATTGGAATGGTCTTCATTTCTAATGGAAAAGCACTAAACATAAATAGTATTTATAGCTTCACATTTTGTGAAAATGATTTTGTGAAACAAATTATTATTTTTTCTACAATTTTCTACAATATAAGAAATGACGTTGGAAAAACCACGTGAACTTAAATTGAGAGATGTTTGTGAGTGTTTGCTTTATTGTTAAAAACGGCAACCACATAGTTTGATTTATGTGAAAAGTTGTGGCCAAAAATGATTTTAAATTAAGATTTATTTCTTTGGTGCATTAAACATTAATCAAGTTGGGTATACAAGTTCCTAGTGTTACTCTCAATTTACTTGTCTTCAATTTTACTAATTTAACTTTATTTTCTGTTAGATTTTAAACCATTTTTATTATATCCTTTTGCCATGTCAGATCTTCATGGCAGCGCTCCCTTGTTCATGCTGAGTTGATTCGTGATTACTTTTATCCCTTATATTTATAATTATTTCCTTTCGTTATCCAACTTCAAACCAATTAAGCATTAAGCTTAAGGACTTTTAAAAGTGTATCTTTATTGGATCTTCTTTCACATTAAACCAAATCGGAGGCCTCCACCTGCTGCTTTCTCCGTGAATGCATCCCCTCTGCTGCTGCTTCTGCTGCTGCTTTTCCCTTTCCCCCTTTGGAACAGTCATCCCCTCTACAACATTTGGGTTCCTCCTACCGAGTTGGTCCTTATTCGGGCCACGCTTGGCCACCTCTCGGTGCAAGACAATTCCAGTTTATCTACGAATATCCTTGGCGCAGGGACACACCTGCCTAGAAAACGGAGAAGTGGCGGGAGCAGCACACTTCTTACACATTTAACGATCCTCTTCCTTCGAGCTGGCAGCAATTTTCTGACGTTTTGGCGCAATTTCCTTGAAAGGACATGTGCATCGGTGCGGCGACATTCCAGCAGACACGAGCCCGCCACGGGCAGGGGCTAGCGAAGCATGCCGCCGCGGCACGAGACGCGGCCCCTGGAAGCGGGTCAAAATGGGGGACAGGCAGCACCGCTCTGTGCCACAGTCATTCATTATGACCGCGATGAGGGCTGGCTCGGGCCAGGTCGCCCTCGTTGCGCTTGACAGCGTTTTGTTCAGAGGGCTGAGGGCGCGTGCCTCCCTCTCCCTCTCTCCCTCTGACTTGACTCCCTTTGTAACGGATTCACCTTATGCCAGGCAGACGCATGCGTCGCCATTCACATCTATCATCGTTTGATATGCGCAGTCGCAGCCCACAGGGTCCCACTGTGGCACCGGGATACTTGCAGTGGTACAGGTAAAACACGGACTTTCCATCCACTTCCAATATTCTGCCGCATCGGGCGACATTTTATTCCGTGCCCTGAGAGCTTCTGTTTGCTTTTCCACCGCTCTCCCAGACAAATCCAACACGCAGGCCGCTGATTGGTCGGCAGCCGCGCGAGGGGCGTGTTGGCCGTTTCGGTTTAAACCCGAAACGAGTTTGTCTCTGTGTTGGTGCCACTCGCACTGTATCGAACTCACTCTCTGGTCGCTGTGCCACACTTTGTGTGGGTTGTGTGCACCGTTGGATGTTGCTTTGGCTGCTTGAATGGGCAGGAAGGAACCCCCACTGATGAATGACTGGGGTCCGAATCACTGAATGGTGAAATGAAGCAGGAGTTCTGGGGCGTTTCCTACACTTTAAGTACACTTTGCTAAATTACATAAACAAAGATAGAGTAGATAAAACAGATTAGCCAATAAAGGGGCAATAAACATTATTTTTGGAATATTAAATTTACCAAAAATTGCCTACCTTTGGAGTTTAAAGTTTAATTTTAATGAATAGAAGATTCCTTTTTTCTCTAAATATTTGGTAGTGTCAAATATAAAAATTGAAAAGTCGAAGAAACGTTAAAAATGTTATATGACTTCAACTTTGGCTCCATAAATCAGTTAACCATATAAATATATTCAGGTTTATGCACTGTATTCACTGCTATCCACACGAATAAATACTTATGCCTTGGAAATATCTTAGAGTTCAATTTATTACATTATTTATTTTTGATATTGAAGCAGTAAAAAATGTGGAGTGAAAATTATTTAAATCAGTAAATGGTCCGTTTTTTAACTTTGAACAGGAATTTTTGCCGGCAAATTGAATTTTTCAAATGCTACAATGGATTTATTCATCCAGCACTTGCTGTCAGATTTTTTGTCTAGTGAAATGTACAAAATCACAGTAAAAAAATCAAAGAAAACTTTAGGGTTTAAGTCAGAAGCCATGGATTGGCAAATATATATTTCCTCAAAGATTCATGTTGCCTAAATGCATTCTTGTGAATAGACTTCAATCATCTAAAATATAAGCATCTATATAAGATTATAAGCCCTAATTTACAAAACTAGCCCACGTTCCACAGGTTTCCAGAGTTTTCCTTACTTGGAATACAACAGAAATCCTTTGGGTTTCTTTCTTATTCTTCGTTTTGCTTCCATTCCATCCAGTACCCTGCCCGATGTCAACTGATTTATCTGACTATCTGCCGACATCGTTGCAAAGCACCGAGAGACCATTTAAGCATCTTCCTATTTGTCTCTCAGTGGGTGCTAGCTGGGTCCGACTGGAACATTCCTGACAACAAATCAGACGGAAATCTGTAATAAATGTATTACTATGTGGCCGGGCCATGCGGATTATAATTGTCTGGGCCACAAATGGGGGCCAAAGCGATGCCAACTGTGAGGCAGCAGCCGGTGCTGGCTACTGGCTACTGGTTATGAGCACGACCAGGAGGAGCTCCGCCTGGCCTGCCAGCCTTCTGGCCTGCTGCTGTGCGGAGGTGGAGTGCCAGTGCTCCTCCCGGGCGGAGACGTCGTCGGTTCATATCGTGCAGATTGTTGGCAATTATTAAAATGATAATTGCACAAATCTGGCTATCAATTGACGACCATCGAAGACCTTAGGCCAACAAGCAGCAGCCAAAACGAGCGAAAGCCGCGCACAGGAACAACACAGCGCAAGCCGGCTCTGGCCAAAACGCATGCGCAGCTCCATCCAGCTCCAGTCAGCGGGTTCCCAACTGCAACTCCAGGCCCAGAGCTCTTTCTTGGCCTGGCTCTGGCTCTGGCTCTGGCTCTCTTATCATGCGGCGTTGGCGCGCTGTGCAGCTTTTCGCCATCGTTGACAATTTGGTATTAATTTAAGACAACAGCAGCAGCGGCTACCACAGACACAGAGAAAGACCCAGGCCCAGCCGGGGCCACCAGCCAGCCAGCCAGCCAGCCAGCCAGACAGTTGGCCACTCCACTTGGGCCGCCTGCCGCCTGCCGCAGCCAGAGCAGAGTCAAACGAAACAAAAGACGGACATTTACATGCTGCCAACGAGGCTAACAATGAAATCTGCGTAGTTTGCTTTGAGGTGGGAGTGGGAAGAGGGAGAGCAGTGAGTAGGCCAGGTCAGTATCAGAGATAGTGTGACCAGGTGCGTCTACGATTTTACTATGATTAAAAGATGCTAAAAACATTAACATAATATATTCCACGCCTTTTACCACTCTAATTGGAGAATGTTTGGGAAATCCTAATTCCACTTTTATTAAATATTGTAATGGACTATCTAAAACCACAATCCCCACAAATACCTGGTCACACTGTCGCAGGGTTCGCTCTGCTTTGTTTTGTGTTACTTTTGGCCTTTCCGCTTTGCCAAGTTGTTGGCCAAAGTTGTGTCCCTCCATTGCGTCTGCGCACAATTATAAAACAAAATTGATAAAATTATTGTGGCTGCCGCTGCCGCTGCTGCTGCTCTTTCTCTCTTCTAAGGCCCAAGGAGCCACGATGGGCGATTAGCCCAAAGCCAAAAGGTTGCAGTGTGCCCCAACTGACCAGAGACAGGGAAAGGAACCCCTTTCGCATGATGAAAATCAGCGACTCTGCAGCAGCAATGAGGCAAATCTATGGTAATATTCCCTGGGGGCTGTGGCTGTGGCTGTGACC